TCTTTTTCTGCAATTCTAAAAGTAAAGGGGTGTGTGGCACATAGCGCTCCCCCTCCCCCCCCCCCGACTATGGAACCGCTGTACCCCTCCCTGGATACACCTTTGGCTTTCACAAACATCCTCTGTCTCTTTTCTCTGTGTGTGTTATACTTCTAAGTCCTCCACCTCTTCCTTAAAATTATCCCAGTTTGTCATTCAGACTCTACAGGGTTTGGTATGGGGACAAGGGTGTGTCCTGATTTTTCTCTTTAAGCCTTGTCTGTTCCTTTTCACAAGCATCAGACTGCCACACCATAAGCAAAAGTATTTAGTACTATTACAGAATATTATGGCCATGGAAACTGGTAGCAGTCTGGTAGAACCCAGATTACTTTGCTGCATTCCAGAGAACATACACATCATAGAGCTAAAGCATCAGCATGATTATCATGCTGCTTGTCACTTACACCAGCCTTTTTTGTACTGAGAACTAACTCCAGTAAAAGGTAGGGGGTTGGTAGCTATTTCTAGTTGGCTATTGAAGAGGAACAGAGAGAAGGGAGGGCTTTCTGGGTTATAATTACTGTTTGGAAATATTCTCCAACTGTAGGGCAAGCATTCCTAATGTGATGCCTCCAACAAAAGAGAAGTTCATAACAACAAAAGAAACTTACTTCCAAAGGGGAATTCATGAAGCTTATGTTCTCAGTGGGATAAAATCTTGTGGTTTAATGAAGCTAATGCAATGGTACTGGTTTACACAAACAGAATATCTGACCCTACACTTTTATTTTTCAGACTGTTTTCTCCTTTATTTTGAAAAATACTGCACTACAGCTTCATACAGGAGGCACTGGCTTTCTGCTTGCTTTTTCATCCATTAATTTTCTATTATTATTTCATTTTTTTAAAGTTTGCATTCTCTCCTTATGGTAAACCTACATTTACCTTATGTTTCCATTATACCCTTGTGGACAACCATCTGACAAAAAAACCCAGAGCTAGGGCCAACTGAAAGGCTCTTGCTCCCCCTACTGTCAATCTTTTGGAAGAAAAGCTTTACTTACATTTGCACCTGCATCTTTATATTGGCGTTTTTGAAGTGCTTGCCAGCCTGCTGTCACTTTGGTTTCATTACCCATTTCATTAGACTAAACCTGTATAAGCCACTCATGTGAGAAGGATATACTGACATGTACATTTCTTCTCATCCTCCCCCATCCAATTTGTGGGTCACAGCTGTAACATTTGTTTTTGATTCATTTATGTTTACCCTGGAAGCTTTAGATTAAAGAGGGAAGGAAGAATAGCTCTTCTGTGCAGGTCATCAGAGAAGTGCTTTTTCAGATGTGCTGTTCTGTAGCAAATGCGGCCACAGATTGAACAACAGCAGAGTGAACCAAATCCTTCAGTCTTGTCACTCAAGCAAAACTTCCTTTGATGGGAATGGGAGTTTTACCAGAGTAAGGGAAGTGTAAGTATTTAATGGTTTGGCCCTATCTGAACAGACAATAGCTGCCTGCAAAGAAGTGAACCAATGTGGATGTCTAATGTTGGTGTAGCTTCTTATGAGTCAGTTCCTGGAGCCCTGTGACAAAAGAATCTCGCCTCCTAAAAAGTAAATATTTAACTTTTAGAATTGCAGGAAAAAAGCATGACCCAAGTGCATACAAGCTTAGAACCAAGAAAGAGAGAAAAATATTGTGAATTTTCTCACTTAAAAAAAAATCATCATCATCTCACTGTTTTAAGTTAATCACATAATTCTCTGAGGTCTCTCACTCATGATTTTTTTCAGTGCTTGGCACCAGCATTGGAGTTAATGTGAAGATATGACTTGTAAGCTGCCTGCAATCATGCAGCTTTCAGGGAGAAAATGTCTACTATGGAGTGATCGTGCCTGTATTAGAATAGAACTCACAGGGGGTTGCTGGATCAGCCATTCTTTACCACTCTCAAGGACTTCAACAAATTGAAAGAGTCTCCGTTCTCTCTTTTTCCCCTACCAGATCCAATCCTTTTGACTCCCCAGTTCTGCAAGGGATATACAATAAACCTGCAGGCTTGAATAAATTGGACTTGGAGTTATTTTTTATCCAGTGAGGGTGTGGCTTTCCCTGGGAACTTCACCTTGGTATCTTGTGAAGACTTGAAGAAAGTTTTAACTGCCACCCGAATGAGATGTGTTTTAAAGAATAGGAACCAGCTAAAAACTAGCCTTCAAGGTTAAGAAAGAGGCCAAAACCCTCCCATTGTAAAATAATTAAGTTATAGGAAACACAAAATTATCAACCAGTCATGAGCAGGATAGAAAAGTACGACAGAGTATTGTCTGTACCTTAAGTGATATCTGATAGTGCAAGAAACAAGGATTCAGACTGTGTGAAGCCCCTGGCTTTCCTGCAGCCCTGTACCAAAGTGGGGAATGTGCTACTTGCCTCATATGTCATCCTCCACAACAGATTAAATCCTCTTCCCCACCCCCCACCACCTACACAGCTTCAGTCCTGTCAAGAGTGTCCCCTCTTGCATCCCACCAAAGTTACAAAGTGGTGCAGAGGATGGAAAACAGCAAGAATGCTCTAATAGTTCAGAGGGAAATCAGCTGTCTGTCAAGTTCTGGCTGCTTAATGCTGCTGGTATAGTGCTTACTGGCTGAGTAAAGCTTGGAATCAGCTAGTTGCTGAGAATTGCCTAACCACAACAGATGAATGGGCTTTTTATTCTCCATGCCCACTTTTATTCTCCATGCCCACGTGGTCTTTCTCTGATTGGCAAGAAAGCTGCCAATTGTAATGGGGTTCTTTTCACATGAGCTGCTGTCAGCTGGCAATGAAATACCTGATCTAGGCTGGCTTGGACCAGTGATTTAGAGGCAAAAATCTCAATCTTTGAACTGTCAAATGACAAAAACTGATAAACCAGTGATGCCAGAGAGTGCAGATGCCAGATGAGGCAGTTGCTTGATTATTTGTTGTACACAATGGGAAAGCAGACAGGCAAACTTCAAGCCCTGCTTAAATTCTTCAGTGCTGTCCTTGCCAGTTTCATTGGGGTAAAATAGAACATAGGGAGTTTGATCTTTCACTCTGCAAAAGTAACTGGTTTTTCTAAACTACTGGAAATCTTTGCATAGACTTTACATTTCTCCAGCTGTATTCAGCCATTAACTTTCAAGAAAGCTCTGTTCTGAACAGTCAGAAACAGGCAGTTCTCATTTGGGTAACAGTCCCCAGGAAGAGACTCTTCAGCCTGAACCAAATGACCACCAACCCAGTGGTTCTCAAGCTGGTCGTCCATGGAATGCTTGCTGCTGACCCTCAGAGAGCTGTCTGATCTCATGATGCTTGTTCCTGCTCTGTGCTGTCTGCTTCTAGCTCACCTTTGAATGTGTTCCTGGTAGTGTTTTGCTCTGGAAGCAATTGCTACTAGAATAGCAGTACATGAACGTGTGTGCGGCCACAAAACAGTTGTTCTATTCAGATGTGTGCCATGCTATGAAAAAACTGAGGAACTTCTGGATCAGGTTAGCAAGTTACTGAAATTTGAGTCAAACATATGGATATCTGAATTATTCCATAGCAAAGGGCGACTCCAGTAGATCAACTGCTTAAACTGATTTATCCTGTCCTTTTCTGTCTGCACAGCACTGTGCAGTGCAGAATAGTCTACAGTGGCATTTCTTAGAAACCTTTGAATGAAAATGAGAGTCCTCCATTTTGGAGTTGCAGGGGGATGTTTTATCCTGCATAGACTTCTCTCATGTTAGATTGTGACATGAAACAAGCCTATGTAAGAGGGCATGCCCCTTCCTTCTGATGAGGTGGACTAAAAAGCATTGGTTTTTCTTGGGATTTCATAGTTGGTAGGGTCGGAAGGGACCTGAGGAGATCATCTAGTCCGACCCCCTGCCATGGGCAGGAAAGAATACTGGGGTCAAACGATCCCACTACCCTCCACTTGTGTCCGTTGTTTCTTGTAACTCCCGGGAGTGCTCGGGGGAACAGGGACTCTCCCAATGCCTGCTGGTCCCCCTTGACTAGTTTGTAGACTGCCACCAGATCCCCTCTCAGCCTTCTCTTTTGGAGGCTGAACAGGTTCAGGTCCCTCAGCCTCTCCTCATAGGGCCTGCCCTGCTGACCCCTAATCATGTGGGTGGCCCTCCTTTGGACCCTTTCCATATTGGCCACATCCCTCCTGAAGTGCAGTGCCCAGAGCTGGACTCAGTACTACAGCTGCGGCCTGACCAGTGTCACGTAGAGGGGGAGGATCACCTCCTTGGACCTCCTTGAGATGCATCTGTGGATGCACGACAAGGTATGGTTGGCCTTCCTGACCGCGTCCCCACACTGTCGGCCCACGTTCATTGTGGCATCAATGATGATTCCAAGATCCTTTTCTGTCTCAACACTGACAAGAAGGGAGTTCCCCAGCCTGTAGGTGTGCCGCTGGTTCTTCCTCCCCAGGTGCAGTACCTTGCACTTGTCAGTGTTGAACCCCATCCTGTTCTCTTCGGCCCACCCCTGTAACCTGTCTAGATCCGCTTGCAGCCTGTTCCTTCCTACTAGTGTACCCACTTCCCCCCACATCTTAGTGTCATCTGCAAACTTGAACAGGGTGCTTTCTACCCCCTCGCCCAAGTCACTGATGAAGATGTTGAATATTGTGGGCCCGAGGACCAAGCCCTGGGGAACCCCGCAGCCCACATCCCTCCAGGTCGAATAAGGTCGATTTCACATGATGCTGTTTGCTTCTTGTCAGATGATAAGAGTTGGTGGAAAAGCCACTTTCAAAAAAGCGTGTGGCCTTTGTTTGCATTCTCAAGTAGCTCCAGGAAATGTAGACAGATGAATTGAAAAAAAATTACCAAACTCTCTTGAACATTAAAAATTATTGGACTGCTAGTAGGGTACAAAAGCTTGATATGATTATTCTATGCCAACTGCTTTGTCTGTCCCTAATGGAAATATTGTCATCCAGCATCTTATACCTTTTCCCCCTTCCCGCCCTTGCCTTTCCAGGTGTACCTGAAGCAGAAATTGCTTGGCTGAAGGATCAGATCCAGCTGGGCCCTCCACACCATTTGCATGATGGATCACTGCTGATTGCAGATGCATCTTTATCTGATCAGGGATCCTACTCTTGCAAGGCAGTCAATCTTCGTGGGGAAGTGACTGAGAGTACACAGCTGATGATTCTTGGTAAGGAATCCATGTTGCCTTGGAAGGACTTGTCTGTTACATTTTGCTTGTGTTACAGGATTAACATCACCTGCACCCCCGCAGACTTCCAACTATGCTGAACTAATCAGGGAGCATAAGAGAAGAAAGAGTGACTAAGCATCTTTATTCTCTGAAGAAGGAATACATTCCAATTGTATTAGCAGCACAGGCTATCAAACCAGGAACGAGAGCTTGGGAGTTGAGGAAGAAAAAACTTTTATCAGGAAAAAAAAGAATACTAATTTTTAATTTTTCCACATTTAGATTTTATGGCCAAGCAAAGAACTGTCAAACATGCCCCTAAGGGCACTCCCAAAAGGAAGGTAGTAGCCCTCTGCCCTGTATACCACACCACTTCTGAGAAGCAGCCACTCTTATAAATCACTAAGTGACACTGACCAATTTCACACCTCACTAACTGATGCATAAACCTTGTGCAATTTACAAAACAGTAACTCAGGTCAGCAAAGGGTAAAGTTTACTTTGTCTTGGGTTTCATTGTAGCAGGCCGAAAGTCTAGCTGGATGATTTTGGAAAGACTTTGTCAGGCCTAAAGCATGGGTGGAAGTGTTACACAGGACTAATTTATTGTGCCTGTTGATGGATTTTTCCTCCCTAATGACCCATCTGTGTCATTTCCCACTGTCTGGGAAATGAAAGATCCAGCCAGATAATGTAAATGGTACTGTATGCCTAGTAATGAAGTGTTCTTGTTTTGTAACTCTGTACATGTATTGTTGCAACAAAGCAGACAAGGTTCCTTGGGTGAATCTGATCTCTTTTATTAGACCAACCCAAATAGTTGGAGAATAGTTATTAAGCAAGCTTTCAGGTTCAAAAACCCTTCGTCAGGCTAAAGACGTTTCAGCAGTTGATGTGTGCTCTTCCTGGATGGAATGAAAAGTAAAGAAGCCAGAGGCTGGGCTGGGGAGTCAGTTGTTGCAACAACGCATTTACAAAGTATCTGTCACAGATGTCAGTTTTCAGGCCTTAGCATATTGCCCCCTTTGATTCACAGCTGACTCAAACTTGCAGGGCAAGTCTAGGCACTGTGGATGCTGCTACCTTAGAGACAGATTTTAAAGCTGAACGTTCTCACAATCTTAAGGGCAGTGCTAAAGCCCTTCTAGTGGAGGGCTTCTATTCACATGGAATACCTGTGATTTCAGACCAACCCTAAAAACTAAGTTTAAAAATTATATTCATATATTTAAAAAAGAAAACCTCCCAGATCATAATTCCCATTTGGTTTCAAAGCAAATAGGCCCCAGAAAAAAATCACTTTTTTGTTAAAGATGCAAAATTACTCTCAGTGCTTCAGGATCATTTGTAGGCAAACCATTTTTTCAGTTGCTTAAGAAAAAGAAATAGTGGAAACAACTCCGGGCCACCAGATATCACCTGTGTATTAACAGTAGCTATGCAGTGTGAGTTTACCATCTGTTCTGAGTGACTGTATTTGCTAGTGAACAACATCTGCTGCTGTGCCTCGTCACTCACAAGAATCAAGGATGGCAGAGTAGCCTTAAAGAATTTCTTGGCTATTGTTGGCTTACGCCTGACATTAGACATTATTTTAATTGCATCTGTACTGCTGCACCTACCTGGTACATCAGGCACCCACACCACTTGATTTCCTTTGAAATGTTGCTGTTTCAAAACAATGAAAAATAGGAGGGATGGTTTCTAATGTCCTTCAGTGCTTCCCTGTTACAGCCTTGCTCGTCATCTCCATCTCTTAATTTATTTCCAGACCCCCCACGACCCCTCCTTCATTTAGAAGACTTGACAACAATGCTTTTAGTCAGAGAGCCAGGTATTACTTCAGTGATGACCTCTCCTTCAGGAACAAGACTGTCTCTAAACCCTGGCAGTTCTGTCCTCATAGGTAAGTCTGGATCCTTACAATTTGAATAGAAAGAGAGAGACAAAGACACAGAAAGAGAGAAAAGGAGAGGCAGGGAATATGTCAAATTCAGATCCAGCCATTCATCTGAGAGGTGTTGAGATCTGGGAAGCCGATTCAGCCCATTATAGATTGGGGGCCATTTGAAAATTTTTGCTCTGGACTCAGGTTTGAAATGTTAGCAATCATTAACAAGCCAGGTTTATGGTTAGTGTTATGCTGGAAAGCCCCAAAAATCATAAGGGCTTCTTGGTGCTGGACAGTCTAGTAAGAAATCATTCCTACTCTCTAAGGAGTTTACAGTCAAGGCAAGATACAGCCAATGCATGAAACAAACAGGGTGGTTGGAAAAGGTAAGACAACATTAGCAGTATACTCAGAGCACTGACAGAAGTCATGATTTGTCACATGATCAAGCCCCTCAAGTACTCTACAGCTATGCCCCACAGAGCACTTAAAAGTGCCCAATTTATGTGACAATCTGAACCATCATTGCAGGAGGGTTTCAGTGAAGGTGCTCCAAAGTAGAGCGCCTTCATTAACTTGTGTCAACATGCACAGGGAGAAGGGTTAGGTTGATACAGCCCAATCCACTCGCCCACCTGCCCACGCAGGCTAGCCAAACCACAGACCAAGCTCCGTCCCCACCCCCCACCTTCTAAAAACAGCACCAGAGCTGCAAAGGGGTTAGGGGGGCAGGGGTAGGGGAGAGTGGCTGCACACATGCAGCCACTCCAGACTGGAACTCCAATCCCTCAACCTCCCAGACCCAACAGCGAACATTGGTTGGGTGTGAGGGATCACTGTAACTCATGGCACTTCCTACAAAGTGCCATGAGTTACAGTAGGGAGTGTACATCTGTCAGCATCCTCAGATGTCAGCTGTAATTCTATCTTTTTTCCTTTCTACCTGTTTACAGGTGTTCCTTCTTTCTGGAATATTCCTTTTTGTCTTGTATGACTTCCACCAGAGATTTATCTATTTCTCTAGACCAATTTTATCCTTGCAAGCCATTTGTTTCACTCTTCTTAATCATACGTTCACAGCACTCAAAGTGTGTGAAAACTTTCTACACAAGCAGTTCTAAATGAGATGTTCTTCATTTCCATCCTGAGTTTCTGTTTTCTCTTTGCACTCCAAGCTATACTGTATAATGTAAAGTGTTTTCAGTAGGCCTATGCGGATAGGCAACTATTCGATTTGGATTCGGCCGATTCAGATTCAGCTGATTTGATTTGGAGATTCAAATCTTTTTTTTTTCTGATTCAATTCAGTTAAATCGATTCGGAGCCGATTCAGAGAGCTTTGGAGATTCAGCCATAGGGTACAATAGGGAATCAATGGAACATCTATAACTTTGTTGTTGTTTGACTGATTTGGATGACACTTGCAGGGGTGGTAGCCTCTTCTGAGGGCATGAAGCCTGCCAAATGTGAAGGTGATAGGTGCAGGGGTTTCTGGGAAACTGTACCTCAAACTGCTGACAAGCAAAACTCCTGACACAGGTGACGCTGTGTGTGTCTTAAGGCACAGGGGGGTGAAAACTGCAGGCCTGCTGCAGCCACAAAGCCTGCCAGCTGTCAAAGAGATAGGTGCAGGGGGAGTCTGGGTTCTGGGGCCCTGCCCCTCTGGCCACAGGCAGGCAAAACTCAGGACATGGGTGCTTGTGGGACTGTGTGTACACCTATCTCCTTGAAACTTGGCAGAATTTATGGCCCCAGCATGACCTGCCAACCCTGCAGTTTTCACCATGCTGTGGCTTAACACATACACGTGACATGAGTTTTGCTTTCAGGATTTTGAGGTGCAGTTTCCCAGAAGCCCCTGCACCTATCAACTTTAAACTTGGCAAGCTTCATGCCCTCAGCAGAAGCTACCACCCCTGCAAGTATTATCCAAATCAGCCAAAAAACAACAAAGTTATAGATATTTTATTGATTTCTGCAATATACCCTATGGCCGAATCTCTGAATTGCTAAATCTTTTCCTAACTGATTCGGAAAGCCTAAAGCTTCTAGCAGTTCAATTCGGATTCATAGATTTGGCCTCTGAATCATCCAAATCATCTCCAAATCCAAATCACGATCCAAAGTTTTGCACAGCCCTAGTTTTCAGGTCTATTGTGATTCTCATTTTTTGCTAATTTTCAAGGTCTTTTTATTTTTAAGTCCCCTTCCTGCCGCTGTCCTTGAGTTCATATTTAATATTAAGCTCAGTCAGTCCATCAGCTTCTTTAGCATCCTTGCCATGCATATGAGTCCTATTAGCAAGGTCATGCAGTATTTCAGAACTGTTTTTCAGCTTTGCAGGGATGAGATTATAAATCTTGAGAGGAGGATCTGTACGTTGTCTCAGTGCTTATTAGAATGGTTGTGTTTCCTTGTACAGGCCTCTGAAAGGTTCTTTGCTTGCACTTAAACAAAAACTCCCGAAGTTAAGATATTATACTTTTATTTGCTTTGGGTTTATTTTTCCCCAGTCCTGACATCTGTAATGGTTTCTAGTATGCAGCTCTGGATTCCATTTCTGGTTCTACTAAACCTGCAATAAAGAAGCTGTTATAGGGGAAAATATATCTGAAGCTATTTAGCATTCAGTAAATCATTTTAGGTAGGGTTTTATTGCACTTACATTTCCAGGGCTTGGTCACACTTCTTTTTCATCCACTGCTTCTTATATTTCCAAAGCAAAGTCTTTAGTGAGTTTAAACAAAGATTTGAGAGAGGTAATCACCGGCAATAAAATGTGTCTTGCATCTGTCTGTACAGATAACTCTATTATCTTCAATGAAGTAACATTACAGTGACTCTGATCCTGCATTACTGAAACCTAAGAAACACTTTTCTAATTAGACTGGGGATGAAATATCTAATCTAGCTGTTAGAAGTCACACAAATCCGAAAAAAATGCCTGAAGGCTAGTGGGTGATGCCATTGCCAAAATTGTATACAAAGCATTCAGTACCACTATAAGGTATCCAAGCAATTACTGTCTGCAGTTGCACTAAATAGGTTCCAACCTGCGTTCAGCTACAGGTAAGATAGGGACCTCCAAAAAAAAGGTATAGTTAAAATTACTACAGTTTAGGATTGTAGCAGTGTGGATTAAAATAAAAGACCCCTTTAACTCCCAAATTCTCTCTCCCTGAAAACCTCTAATAGAACTTCTGCCTTTTATAACCTCTCCACACAGCCTCCTCACAGTCTCTCCCAATCTGCTGTTCAGCATGTCAATTTTAGTTGCCCTCTAGGCCATGGGCAATATGCTCTGCTAAGGCCTCTCATGCTCTGATTACTGTGTATGAGAGCCATCCTTTAATTGATAGTTGGAAGAGGTTCCAATGTTGGCATTGATTAGGAACTTGGCAGAAGCCAAACTAGACCAGAAAGACCAAGAGGATGTGGTGAGTTACAGAGATGCCATTTGATGATGGAAGAAACCACGGAGACCGGAGCCAAGGGTGGAGAGAGAGTGAGTAAAAATGGGGAAATTAGGGAAAGTATTGTATGTTGGGTAAGCAGAAAAGAATACTGAGGGGAAGAGGGGAAGAGTTACAAGAAAAGGGAAAAGAGGGAATTTGAAGCTCTTGGATAAATCCAAGTAAGTACCCAGGCTTCTAAAAATTTGAATTAAATGGGAACCTGTATTTTTGAGATTTTGCCAGCTGCGTGATTTAAGAACAACTCCCTTGATCTGAAGGAGGAGAAAACACAGAATATGAGAAGACAAGCAGATTAAGTTTGCACATGGTGAACTTGCTTGCACATCAAGAATTTGTTTCTTAAGCAATGATTTAAAGGAGAATAACACAGCCTTCAGGCCACCGCATTTGTAACATAGCATTCTAGTGAGAAAGTGTGCCTCCTTCAGTATATTTGCAGCAACTGCATGCATTCATTTGGCATCCCAGCTCTATTTCTGCAGACCTCTCTGGAGTAAACCCCCGAAATCTGTGGGAAGAGGTTTGGGGCCAAAACATAGGTATCAGGCTTTCAGGACTGCATTTCACTAAAGGTTGCAGCAGCAGTCCCAGATTTGTGACTTGAGATGAATAAGCAGAGAAGGAGTTCATTTAGGACTTCACTTTATGACTTTTGGAGTCTCTCATGCAATGCAGTGTTGTGTAATTGGGGCCCTAAACAACGTCTTTTTATAGTTTGAAGAAGCAAACCACCTCCAAGGATGAGAGGAAAATTGTTGTCATCATTATAGGTACCATAATGTAGTTAGCATATTCTACCTCTGTGTACATGTACTTCCACTGTAAGCCACCGTAAGATGCATCCTATGGTGCATTCTTCCACAGGACTATCTAACATTAGGAGGAAGATATTTTAGGAAACAGTGCCCAGGTAGTTCCTAGCAATGAGCAGAAGTGTAAATTTGGTTTAGCGTCTTGAACAGTATCAGAATAGCAAAAAGTGTTACAAAACCTGAGAGAGAGACCATAAAGAAACTCAGTAAAGTACAGACAAGTCATGAATGATCTGCCCTCATGGTTTGGGCTAGGTTACAAAAATTAACAGCAGGGTCAAGAGGTAGCCTCAAAAACCAAGTTCAGGGTCCAGAGCCAGAAATCATAGTCAGACACTGTGTGTATGAGTCAAGAGAGCTGAGAGCTCTACAGAAACACTAAGGGCTGGACTGGAAACAGGACTGAATCTAAGGCTGATTGTTGAGACCTGACAAAAGGAGGAATTTCAGAGCAGGAGCTAAGGAACAAGGCTGTGGCAGGTTTCATGGCAAGTGCTAAGAGCAGGATTGAGAGACAACCCAAGTTGAGAATGGAGACTTAAAGCTAGAACCAGTCCAAGGTCTAAGACAAGAACAAGGAGACAAGGCTAGAAAGAAGAGCAAAATTAAGCATAATTGTAGACTTATGAAGCACTGACCAACCAACCCTCTGCTGGGGAGTGCTGGGTTTATATCTTACAGGGTGCATCTACACATGAAGTTAATGTACAGCAATAAACTGCAGCAC